CACTCGACATGGTACACGAACGTAGACGACGAATTGATTTTATGTGTCAGACAGATGACGGTTCGCAATTCTGAAAATTTACGAGGTTAGTATTTTTTCGTCATCGGCACATTCCGTCGAGGCAAAATCCGTCGTGCTATTAAGGAGTAGAAGTTTAACGCCGCGCCGGTTAGCAATAAATGACAAAATCGATATTCTAAATTATATCAACATGAGACCTGCACACAGAAAAATATGTACTGGATGTAAGTAATACATACTTGTTTCAAATATTTCAGTAGTTTATGTATCCGCAAATTTATCGTAGTTTGTCACAAGCATAAAATTTATTCGAAATATATTTTGAATCCCCTTAGTAAGGTTAATACGTCAATTGAGATTATTAAATTAATACAAATTCGATTTGCTTAAATCGAATAAAAAATCGCTTCTTCAATCGCATATATTCTTCAAAAGAAAATAAATTTTTTAATACATAATAACGATTTGAAATTTTTAATAACTATATTTTAAGATTATTATTAAGAAAATATTCTTTCCTAAAGATAACCGTTTAAAAGGAAGAAAATAAATTGAGAGTAATCACTTTTCTTAGCAATAGAATGATATTTTTCTGTCTGTGTCTGAAACTTTATATTTGCGAAAAAATATTGACCAATTTTCTTAATCTTCATTTTTTCCTTTATATAGAAGAATCTTAGGTAAAATGCTGTTAATGTTAATTACATACAGAAAAAGTAATTTTGCTGAAATATTTAAAAATTTAGCTGGATATAGATCTGAAAATAATTTTGTCGGAATCAATCAAAATAATTATGCAAACTCAAATTGATTGCTAGTATTTGAGAGTCCCCTGCGAAATTATTTGATTCAACAAAATTATTTTTCTATCAGTATCTAACTAAATTCGTAGACATTAAGTTAATTTAGGTTTTAAATTTTTAAATAATTTAACAAAAATTCTTTCCAGACAATGTCTTAAAATAATATCTACGGGAATGTATTGAAGAAGAGCTTTCTGGAATATTCTCTGCTCTTCAGTTTGTATTAATCCCGTGATTTAATTCGAAAACTTGCGTAATTAGCAATCTTACTCGATATCCCGGTATAATGAGACATATTACTCTTTGAACGGCTTACGCGAAAATAAATATAGTCCGGGCACTTAAATAGCTGCAAGTCAAAGATTCCTAAACCAAGATCATGCTCGTCGAAACTTCGTAGCATCGCGCTTCTCTCTCGCGTCGCATTTCGCGAAATTAGTTCTCCTCCGCGGAAGTACGCCATTCTCATTAATTATGTAATCGCGTTTCGTTACGCTCGCGCTTCTCCATCTTCCTTACACGACCTTGTTAAACTCGCGTTCTTATTCTTTGGATGTCGGCGACATCTTTCACAAGAAGTCAAATAGGCCACGGAAGTTTTTCGTTCTCCGGCATCTTCGAGATAAAAGTGCTGGATTTTTCCCACCGATTTTTCCCAACCGCATCTGCATTTACACATTGAATTTCTCACAGCGGAAAAAAAATACGCGCGTAGTCGAAAATGTTTTCTGGCAGTCGGCTTTTTTTTTTTATAAATTTTCCCGTCAAATTTCCGGAAATCTGAACAATACGTCGAGGTTGGCATTTCGTGAAAATAACGCATCCGCGAAAAAAACACATTCTTCGGATATTGTTTTTTGTAGTTTATCCATACACGAAATTAAGAAAAAATTTGAAAATGTGTTTATACGGGACGCGCGATTAAATTCAGTTATTAACTTTGTTTCTTTAAACAATTATTTTTCTCTAGAAACGGCAATAAATGTATTTTTTCTTAAAGAAAGAGAGAGAGAGAAAGAGAGGAGGGACGGACATAGAATCGACATAGAATATTTTCAAGATTTACGGATATGTTTAAAATGAATCGTTTGTCCTCGCGTATAATAACGCTCTCTCTATATTACGGAGAGGCAACGTGGATATCATGGCTATTCAGGGGAAAACGAATTTTCGTAATATCGCTTTTACGCTCGTGAGTATTACAGCTCACAATGCCGGCATTATAAGATCTTATTCTCTTTTCTCTCCATCGGAGTGGATCACCAAATAGAACGCGCTGACAGCACTACTTTTTTAATCACGGTTAAGTCCGAAAAAATTCAACTTCTTTTATCGCGCTGGATTATAAATGAACTGTTTTCTTTAGAAATATACGAATGATGGCCGTTTTTCCTCGGCGAAAAAGCCGAGGAAACTTTGTCGGTCTTCACTCTTTTTAAAAATCATTTTGAAATTAAAAATGATAATTATTATATTTTATATGTGAAAGTATTACAGCTGCGCGAGTGTCATTTCCATAATTAATTTTATGCATACTCTTCCAATCAAACGGTATAAAAAGTAAAAATATGCTAATTTATGAGAAATTTAATATCGAAATAGAAAAAATTAAGGTATCTGAAAATATCTTACAGAAGAAATTTTCATTTTAATTATGTCGCACTCAATTTGTAAAATGCGCGAATTTTTTGAACCTTAATAAAAAATATCAATATTGTTACGAGAAAAGAAAAATAGCGGTGTTTTCAAAGATTTTTTTTATTTTTTTAATTAGTTTAAGGCTCGTTTTCACAATATATGATTATATACAATTATCTGAAGATTAAAGATTATACATCGAGAGATTCATTAATGAGAGATTTATTCATGAATTTCTTTATAATCTTTAATCTTTAGATAATTATATATTATGAAAACGTATCTGATATCTAACATATTTTATGTACGTCGGTTCTCAACACTCTTTAAAACAAATAGATGACAAGGCACATACAAGTCAATCGATATTTAATTAGACGTCTCGCACGGCAGCTTGCCTGTTCTTCGCTCGTAACGCTTATTACTGTGTACCGCTACTCGCAGTTAAGGACGAATTAATTAAGCTTGCCGTTAGACGAGCATGCATGCACGTATGTGCGCGCATTTCAATCCGTTGTTGCCGCGTCGTTTTATACCCACCGCGCCAGTCGGAAACAACAATTCGCTATTGATTTAGCCGATAAATGGAATTAAATACTCACGCGTAGCTCTAAACCAAACGGGCGGCCGGGCTGGCGCGCTTTTGTGCTTAATCGCGTTGCTGCCGCTGCATTTCCGTTTCCTGCGGCAACAAACGCCGCTCGTTTTAGAGGCGCACTCGCGCTTTTCACCGACATTACGGCTTAACACGAGTGCCTTCGATCACGATGCCGTTTTAGAATTGCAACGTCGTAATCATAAACCCATATCGCTAACCGTAAATCGGAGTATCGTTAAACGAAACCCTCATTTTCTCGTATACAGGTATCGATTTTACTTAATGCCACATATCTCGTGGATTCTTTTTTTTTATACGTTCGTTGCTATAATTCAAAATTTTATTTGACAGACACACTGAATTTTCATTAATTATTAATTAATCTATGGCTGCAATGCAGACACGGATAAATGGAAAAAAATATCTATGTACCTCATTTATCAGAAAAGCAACAAATTGTGATAATCGATTTTATCTCGACTTGTTGTCAATGTGTTTTAAAAAAAGAATATTAAATTATTGCAACTCTCTCTCTCTCTCTCTCTCTCTCGAAAAGTTTATAAGCGTGTCACTGTTACGTCGCGTGAAAGATTATCGAGTTGATTTACCGCCCCGCACCAGCCGGTGTTTAACCGTAGTTTCGTGTGAGTTTGAAAAATGAGGAGCTTAATTTCAATTTGCCATTGACCAGAGTGGTAAGCCTCGCGTGTTCCTCTCACGATCACGTATCGATCCTTTCTGATTATCGCAACGACAACTATCGATTAGGACAGCTCGCTTAACAAACTCTCAAGCGGATTGTGATTAGCGTTTGGCGATTACTTTTCAACCAGTCAGTGAAGAGCAGTCACCGATCGCTTGGTTCTAATTTGTTGAAAAATAATAATAAATTGTCAATCGCTAGTGTGATTACGGCTTCATCTTTGGTTTCCTCGCATAATAGCTTTGTTCTTTCGTATCCAGTATCCGTTATATTATACAATGGACTTTCATCTGCATCGAAAATAACGCTCGCGTCGTTTAGAAAATTCTATTTAAAAAATTCTATTAAAAAAAAAATGTACACGTCTCGGTTTTATTACGCATAAATATTTTAACGGCGCAATTGGTGCACGAGAGACAACAGTGGTACGAAATATATGTATATCACGATAGCGTATAATCGCAGCGAAATTTTTCATTCGCTATGTGTACGTACGTATATAGCGATTAACGCGCACTTTACGCACGAGCGAGTTTCGGTCGGAGCGATATATTCAGTGTCGATCGAACGAATTAAACGACGGCGAATCGTGGTTAATCGCACGAAAACACGAGGAAAACGGCCCTAGGGTGATAAAAAATACGCTGATACTGGTAAATGTACAAATCGAAAGGAGGGGATTAGTGCGAAATGTACGACACCGACGATTATTCAGAAGAAAATAAAAAAAAAAGTTTGCAATTTTATTTTTTATAGAAATTAATAAAAAAATACAGTTACCAAATGTATCACAGATTTACGGTATAAAATATTAAATTTAAATATTATTATTAAATGTCAAATTTAACATTAAACGATCATTGTGCAGCTGCTGCCATAAACATATACGTCTACGTAACAATTTGTAATATTTTGTTCAAATAATTTAATTTATAATTATGCAATGGTATTATGGCTCAAAAAATTTAAAAACGAGTTAAAAGAGAAGAGCCAGTTACGAGCCAGAAATATAACATATAGAAAGATTGGTTAAAGATAAGTAAAGCCGTAGATATTAAAGAATCGAAATATTATTATTCGATCATTCGATTCTTAAAAGCTGTAAAATAAAAATGTACCAAAATATCGCATATGTTCGGAAATACAGTTCTACATCGTGTTTGATTTTTATTTTCCACAAATACTTGTAGAGTCTTTTTATCTAATTGTAAGTTGTAAGTAAATTGATCAAAAATAAAATGCAAAGAAGAAAATGTATATTTTGCAGTGGTATCTTTTCCATAAAAATTACCAAGCGGCGGGCAGGTTAATCCATTGGGTTCCTCAGTGGGAAGTGGACTCTCGTCGGAAAAGAAACGGAGCGTTCGCCCGTGAACGCAAATCGGGAAATCGAATTCCGTGCGCCGCTTCGGGTTAGGCATTATCGGCTTTTAATCAAGTTTGTTCCTTTTTCGTCCATTCCTTCCTTTCTCATCTTCTGACGTGCCTCTTTGCTTTTGTGAGAGCCGCTCTTCATTCGCATGCTCGAGCTGCGCTGCAGTTAGTTAATCGAAGTCTTGCTTGCGAGTTTGCACTGTCGGGAGAAAGAGAAAAAGAAAACTGTTAAAAAAATCTTTTTAAGAGCTCTGATATCATAATTTAAAGTAAATCGAATTTCATCAGAAGATTCAGCATAACATAAATTACAGAATAAAATTAATTATCTAATTTAACGATTTATACCGAACGTTAATTTAAATTAAAATAAACATAATTGTGCGATGCTAAAAAAATGACTTTGCGATAATTGTTAAATCAATATTTCCTTTTTCTTTCACCGATCTTGTAATCGTTTAATTTTAACTTGAAAAAAATTATTACATACATTCTGTATATTTTACGGTATATTTTTCTTTAATACATTATCATGTTCCTAATTTTATGTTAATATTACATTAACGTTCTTCTCTATTCTCATTTTAATTTCTTTTCAATCCACAGCTCGTCGCTCGCTTTATATTCGTTTCGCTCGGTTCCAGTCGCGTCGACCATCAGGTAGGGACAAAAAAAAGCGCATCGTTCGTCCAGGGGAGACCGCTATTATTCGATGTCGCCGTATTTGCCGGCGGAAATTTGGAAACGTGCGAGTCCACCGAATAAATATCGGCGTCGTGATTCGTGCGACGTACCGACTAATGGAAATCCCAGAGCCGACTGCAGCGGAAAGTTTTTGGACTCTGCCCAACCATCAATTTTCCGACCCTCTGTTGCTGCAGAATCCACGTGCATCCTCCTAGTGTCGTACCCTCTATTGTCCCCCCTTTTTTCATTCGTCTTTCGCGATCGATTGACACATTTTTGCGGTTTTCGCCACACGTAGATTATTCCGAAACGTTTGCGTCCGGCGAAAGTTCTTGCGGAGTAGATCGTGTCGCTTTCTTAATTTTTGTACGTACGACTTCGAGGGAGGGAAAACTACGAGTACATAGATATAGTTTCATGTTTCATAAAAGTATCGATAATAATATAGCATCAACGGATACCACGCAGAAGCGACGACGACGTTTCCCTTCCGGCCATAATACGGATGAGGAAACTTTTTCTATTACCTTCGCGAAGGAAACTTCGAAGGAAGCTATCGAGCTATTCGAAGTGCGTATGGTAGTTCCATAACGTTTTTTTTTACTACCCATGCTTCGCGAAACTATTCCAACGAGGAAAACGGCATGCGAAAGAAAACGTTATATATCTGTGCAATAAGACAAAAAGTATAGAAATGTATCATCACTCTCAAATTTGCGAATTATGAAGCGGATATCTACTTTAATTAAGAAAAAAATACTTGCGTGCTAGTAGCTTTTATAATTAAAAATATAAATGATTTAAACTGTTTATGTTTGAAACTTTTTACACTTGATTTATTACAAATCTGTTGAATGAATTAATTTGTTTTTATAATTTTTTGAGAAATATTCTTGCGATAATGTGGATAATGGTTCAATTAGCTTTGAATGGCTTGGTAAAAGTAATTCCTGTTGAAACATCGACAACATTCTAATTGTGTTCGTCGAGGTTTCAATTAAGGCAGGAAGGTCTAAATGTTTCTTAAGCATTGGGAAAGCATCGATTGGAATGGCACGACATGTGTCCTCCTTTAATGAAACGCCGACTGTAAGTGAGCCGAAAAGCTTCCAGCTTATACAAATCTACATATAAGACGTATAACATGCTAAAATTTATAGTTCTATTTATAATTCTATTATGCTTTATTTATAGTTCTAGAATGTAGCCTTGGACGATTCTACTTATTCTTTATATCTCTTCTTTACTTATTCTTTATTTTCTCATAAGGAAAACATTCACGAAACTATATAAGTCTACTCATTAATCTTCGTTCCAAAGCTGTGAAGGCAAGGATTATGAGAACAATACTTTTCTTTTTTAATTGTTTTTTTAAGAGATTTTTTTATTAATAAAAAAGTTTTTATCAACTTTTGTTACACCCTATATTTTAATATTCTGTAAATTAATTGTACAATATAGAATACAAACATTATAAAAAATATCATTTTTTGAGAATACTTAAATTAATAAGTCACGTATGTAATTGAGCGAAAGATTATTACACAATTCACATCTTTTATCGATGTTATCCATTCACAACCATAGGTCTGTTTTTTTTTATTCCTACATTAGAACTTTCCTTCTCGCTTTCACGTATCAAATATATATCTAGTTTAGTTTTAAGTTTCAAAATGTATAACACTCTCTCTACACAGAAAGAATGATTTTGCCGAAGTATCTAAAAATTAGCTAAATATAGAAAATAAATTTTCTATATTTCTTTCTATTCTAAATATATTTTCTATTTCCAAATAATTACCTGTAGAATATTCAAACCAGTTGCTAGAATGTCAAAACTTTATGCAGCGTTGCTCATCACGCTTGAATTTCCTAGGTACATAATTATTTTGATAGTCCAACAAACTTATTTTCAGATCTCTGTTTACTTAAATTTTTACATATTCCAACAAAATAGTTCCTTTTGGGTAGCCCAGCCAGAAAACAGACCTGTGAAATATTTTTCTGGACGAGTGAATTCTTGGTGTTGTTCACCGCGGCGTTGTCCTCGTTCACGAGCGCGCTCAAAAATAGGATCGGAACTCACATCGGACGGAAATCCGACGCGAGTTGAGTAACTTTTGCGTTAGCCTTCACGTTATTTCGGTCACCGAGGGCGACATACCGAAACATGTCGGCCCTGCACGTCCTCTTTCCCCGTTTCGTTTCGCACAGCGTGATGTCGTACCTACCCCGGTTCACTGCTCGAATGAATAATGCGGCATGCGCGCACACAATCTCACACATATGTACACAGGGGTAGACAGGTCGACTCTCAACCCGGTCTCTCGTAACCTGCTTTAGCCGGTACGCGTGCGTATCCACTTGCCATCAATGTGAGGACTGTCGCGGTCCTGCCACACATTTTCTAGGAACACATTTCCGCTCGCTGACCCGATCCGCCCTCTTCCACTTTGCCGTTTAGATTCCGGCACCTGTAAATTCTTTCGGTGGATTTCCATGCGACTTGATTATTCCGTAACGCAAAACAGTGTGACTCTCTGGTTCTCCAAAAATCTTTCGTACAATGAATCTTGACCCAAGAGTCCCCTAAAATACCGTAGGAGATTTTTTTATTCATTTAATTGAGATAAATTTTAAATATTTATTTCTCTTGCGCCACGTTGTACTATTTAAATGGAGATTTAATCTATGGATAACTATGAATAACTTGTACACAATATTCTTTCTAAATCTTGTAATTCCCACGGAATACTCGAGACTCACTTTTGTTATAAAAGTATATTGTACTTGGGAGAGAACTAAAAAGTTCTCGAGGAGATGTCTATTTTCATTTGTTACTGTATTTTAAATTTTCATTAAAACTTAAAACTTAAAACATCGTCCCATTAAAACGATTTTTCTTTGCGCTATCCTTATAGTCGTACATACTTCTACATTACTCCATTTCTACGTACGGGCTGATCTAAAATTATATTAGTTGTTATCTTTAATTTCTTAAGTTAATATTTCTGTTATTTTCAGTCTAGAATTTCACATTGAGGGAGTTTTTAATTAAGGAAGAAATACTGCTGCTAGTTGCTTCTTGTGTCATTGCTAACTCGACGTTTTTAGTTCAATTATGTAATTGCATATACATGTATAAAACTCGTAAGCGTGAATATCGCGATATACTTAGTGCAGCGCAAATGTAAAATCGATATATACGTGACCTAATTGAAAAATCGATACTTTAGAATTTAACGGAAGAAAAAAAACCTACGATGTCTCCATCTTCTTTTCGCCTTTTCTGTTTCACCTCGTCGCTATCATCGTCATCGAACACGTTTCGTGAAAGGTGAGACTTTCCAAAATAGGAGGATCCTATTTTGACTTGAGTTACCTTGCCATCGCCATTGCGGTGTGTACAGAAAAAAAAAATGTTCGTTACGAATGCTTACGTAGCGAGACATAACGTGCCAGGCTTGTAGAACGACGCATTCCAGATAAATAAACAGCGGGAAATGGAGGTTTATTTTTCGATATAATCATTCGCCTCTCTGGTTTCTAAATTCGATATTCGTTCGACGAAGATCGAAGATGCGTTATGTCAATTTTCTATTAATGACGACTTGAAGCGATATATATCGTAAGGTAATCTTTTTCGATTATTTTGACGCTCATTATGTCTACAATGTTCCCATTGTTATAACATCGTCTATTACTAGATATCAGAGCGTTTTCATTAAACCTGACAGTTTGATAATTATGTATTGTTATAGCCTCATTGTTCGTTTTATTGGAATTTAATGAACAACCATTAACAAGATGTGGACGTGAGAACTGGTCAACATTTAACCATATTAACTCTTTTATACCGATATTCTTGATGATTTTTATGATTGTTATTTTCTGATATTAAGCTTATACTGAAGAGGATCCAAATTAGGATCGAAACGTATATATTTATCTTTTACAATAAAATATATGTTTTCACATACTTATAACTTGTATTGATTCTTAAAGACTACTTTTCAACTTTTTGATTTACTCATTAGAGCCTTTATTTGAATTATTTGTTTAATTTTTTTAACAGACAGGGGGGGGATGCAAAGAATTAAAAGAAGCCACTTAAATTGAAAGTAATTAATGGCCGAAACATTTTATTTATAAATTTTGTGAAAAAAGATCTAATGATAAACAGTTGCAAATACTTTTGCTTATTTGCTAAATAATTTTTCTATACTTTTGAAATAATAAAAAATTAGAACTTAGAGTTTGTTCTTACTGAAGCTGATCGTACCGATCGGCATACTAGCTTTTTTCTTTTATAAAAAAGAGGCTTTTTCTTTATAAAAAAAAGAAAAAGACGCCAGAATGCCAGTTGCCTTTGACACGATCGGCTTCAATGGAGACGAGCCTTTATATGTATATAAAAAGAAGAGAATTGCTGTATGCAGTAATCTGTATCGATCATTCTTGCGTACAATGATGCGCGTTGCTGAATGTAAACCGATATCTAAAGAATCTCGA